CTAGGCCCAGAATCTCCACTACTTCCTGATCCTTTGCACCCAGACCAACCCAGTTCCTCCCAGTAGTCCCCAGGAGCCCTCGGGGGCTCTTCCCACCTCCACCTCCCTTTCCATTCCTAGGTGGCACAGCCACCAGCTTCCTTAGACCGGCACCTTTCCTGCTCCCAGGCCAGCCTAGCCCCCAAATTTCTGAGGGAAGCATCTTTCCTGGAGGAATCCAAAGCTTAGGAGATAGCCTGAGAGCATCTGAGCCTCATCTCACTTGGGCCTCTGTGGGGACTCCTGAAGACAAAAGCAATTTAGCAACTCCAATATAAAATCAAAAGAGAGAACCTGAAGCCTAGACCAACCAGCTTTTCATGCCCAACAAGTAAACCACAAAGGCACAAAAAGTTTACAAAAAGAAGCAGTTCAACAAAGGAAGGCTTGAGTCTCACACAAGAATATTTACTCCATAAAACTTTGATATAGACAAAGATTTATCTTAAAGAAATCTATAAGAATAGTCTTGTTTGGTAGAGTAGATATCTCCTGATAGATTAAAATTTAATATTTTTTCATACATATACTTCCTTAGACTTAAAGTAACAGAGCCAATACAAAATAAGCATTGGTTTGTTTTTTTTTTAATTCCAACTTTGTACATATTGAAATGAAGCTGAGGTTATCCAATTGTAGGCACAAACTGGTTTTAATTTGGAAAACAGTTTATTCAAAGACAAATTTAAAAGCCCAAAGGATGAGGCCAAGCATCAAAGACACAGGGAACAGCACTGAGCCATAACTGAGGAACTGGCAAGACTGACCAGTTTATTTCAGAATTGCTATGAGCCAGTGTCTACTGGATCTTCACATTTTTACTTTCTGGAATGCTAATAGCTTTTGTAATAGTCATAACTCTAGCCTCACCAGTGCCTTGAGTCGGAGGACAGGGAAGAAGCACAAGTTACTTGTCTCATTTGGTAGCAAATCTTCAGAATGAGAGGCATTGTGCTCAAAAAGCCAAATTCAAGTCATCTCATCTGCACCTGGACCTCAACTGACTGGTAAGAATGTCAGCCTCAAATGTCAGTGTGATGTCATTAATAGAATGAGAGAGAGTATATATTAGAGAGTATATATTCTATGTGGATTGGGTATAAATAATTTGTGAACAGAGACTGTTGATTTAAAAACAAGACCACAAATTCTTTGGCAACCCTTCCATCCAGAGCTGGCAGTTATGCCCTCTTCTGTGGAGTGTGGACTATCCCCAGAAACCTGCATATAATCAACAATATGTTGTAGAACTAAGATGTGACTTCTGAAATATAGTACAAAGAACATGCCATATAGCTTCCACCAAGATCTTTTGGGAGACTTACATTTGGTGTTCTGAGCTGCCATGTAAGAAACCAAACCGCACTGTTGCCACCATATTTTAAGCAAGTCCAGGCCATGCAGGGAGCACACGTAGATGTTATAGCCCACAACCCCAGCTCACATCTCAAGAGACTAATAATACAACTTCCAGACAAATAAGGTTGATTCCTAGTGATTCTGGCCCCTTTCAATCGGCCCCTTACATTGTGTCTCCCCAGCTGAGTCTTAGACAAGCCTGAGCAGATATAAGTTGTTGCTCCCACTATGCCCTTCAAATTCCTGACCCACAGAAACTTTAGGCAATAAGATGACTGACTATGTCAATCAGTTTTAGAATAGTTTGCTCTAGCATTAGAGTAACTAGAACAGCATGGTGAAGGAAGAACTCAGACTTTTAGTTTTCAAATAAGAAAACTAGAATAATGAAACATTAAGTGATTAAGGTCGTAGAGATGCAAGGCAGGAATTCTGAAACAGACTTGTCTGACTCTCAAATCCAGTTTAGAATCATCATACTACACTGTTTTCCATACAGTCTTCCCTACCTTCTTATCTTTTCCTGTTAATATTTCCCCAAACAAGGACTGTGGGCACATAGAATCTGCTGCTCTATGACCAAATCATCATTTAGGGTCCTATTGACAACTGTCTTCTCCATGAGGACATCCCTGGATTTGAACTGTTACCCATTTCTCCATCTTCTAAATGGTCTTGAGATTATTTTCTAAAACTTCTGCTTGACAATTAATGAATATTAATGACACTGATTCATAATTGGTGAATTTGTTGTTTTCCTTATGTGCAGTCCCTGGTTATCTTCTTGAGTTATGTTCCTAGATTAAAGCTGAAATCTAAACACCTACAGGACTGAAGCAGGTAATAGCCAACTGTGAAATGGACTGGGTACAAAAAAAAAGTGGTTTGAATTATGTTGCACTGAGAAGTAAATTTCAAGCATAGATGAATCGGTCAGCACCCAACTGTAGCCTATTGACTTTCTTCCCAGTATAAATCATCACCTGACGGATTACATATATAGGTGATTATTGCCTCTCACGTTAGAAGAAAGATACCTGAAAGCAAGAGCTTTTGCTGTTTGCTGCTGTATCACCACAGTCTAGAACAATATGTGGCATCCAGTCAATAAATATCTATTGAAGGAATAAATGAATGAGAAAATACTGCAGAATAGGGATGCAAGTCAAGTGATATAAGATCTTTTGATTTTTCAAAAGAAGCCAGAAATCATTTTATGTGAAATCTCTGAATTTGTAAATATTGACAACTGGTTAGAAAAATGTTAAGCCATGTTAAGAATGGATAAACACAACATATTTGCAGATTAGCATTCAATATGAAAGTTGGATTTATAGTCAGTGTACCAGGGGATCTTCCACTTCTGATATTTGTAATTATTTGAAACAGTGCTTTGCAAAGTATAGGTGGCTTGTAAAGCAAATAGTGACGGTAATGATTGTGGCTCAAATATTCACACCTAAGGCACTGTGATGATTCTGCTATGTATTATTAATATGCTACTCAAGTTCTTTTCTCCCAGCTCCAAGAAAATTGCCTCAGATTCTGATCTGAAATGACCACCTGGACTTCGCAAGACCATCCCACAACCAAGATTCAGATGCTAAACTTCCTCCCTTTCCAGCTGCTAAGGGTTGAGAAATGTCATTCCCATGTGCTCCCGGTAATAAAGGGGAAAGTCAGTGAAAAGAAAATAGATTGGATTTCAAAGGGGTGACAGAAAAAGAGAGTGGAGTTTCAAACTATATTTCCACAGTTGATAAACAAGGGCTCCCAATGGCAGTTCTGTTTTCTCTTTTACTGATTCTAGTATTTTTAGATTATACACTCTGAAATTTTCTTTCAGTGGAACTTTCAATGTTCTCTGGATGTATGTTTTATCTTTCTACATAATAATTAATAAGTAGGAATGTTAAATGTTTACTAATTACTTAGAGATTCTTAACCCTAATAAAAAGTTGCACCTAAATAATTTGAGTTCAACTGGCTTTACAAATGGGTCTTAGCAACAAGAACAATTGTGTAGGGCTGAGAACACTTTAAGGCACTTTAAAGAAAATACACTAGGGAAAAGCATTTCCAGTGTACTTTATGGTAGCTGAGCAACAGCAAGTCAGTCATCAAGTTTTGAAGACACAAGAGGAAATGAGATGTCTTTGTGTTCCTTTGCTATGTATGATCCAATGAGTACAGCCTTGAAATGTCCACAGAAGACATCAACAAGCATCAGAGGAATTCAACATTTCAAATGATTATATGGCTCCAGAACAAAATGCCTGCTAGCCTCTATACTCAGCACTTAAGGTATTATTTTAATGATTATACAAATGAATTCATCGTACAGTTTTTAAGTGGTATTAATTTTGTATGCAAGCAGATTTTATTTTTTTAAACAGCCTCCACAGTGATTTAAATTAAAAGTAACACTGAGAAAAAATTCTTAGGCAAAACTGTTTTTCAAATGTTGGGTTATTATAAAGCTATGAACTCCCTACAGGTTAAAAACATAGATTTCTATTCACTTATTCTGCTATGTTCAAGGAACATTGAATATAAGAGCTCTGTGGTGGAAAGAATCACAAGATGAATTCTCTCAAAGATATGCAGGTAAAACAGGGAAACACAGATTCCTTAGGGCACAGAAGAGAAAAGTCGAACCCTGGGATCAAACCGACAGATTGGACTTATGGTTCTTGAACCTGGGTAGCTTACTCAATCTCTTTAAACTTCAACTACGTATATGGAAAAATGAGAAGCTTAGTACCTTTGGCATTAATATGAAATTTAAAATAAATACTTAGTTTTGTGGAAACCATTTAAATAAGGAAGAAATTATTCATTCAGCATAGCCTGACATAACATAATACAACAGTATTTGTGTATGTAAAAAGTGCTCAGAACACCATGATGTCACAAATGATGGCAATTAAACAAAACCTAATTGATCATTATCATAAATTTAATGCAGACAATGCTTGCTATACCTCCCGGTCCCTAAGAAAATTAAATGAAATAATAACAAAATATAGAATGACAGCTACAATCTAAAAGCTCTTAGATAGAATTTTTAAGAGCAATGTGTGTTATATTTGAATATACATATGTGATAATTGTTTAATAATGTGTGTGGAAAGAAATTCAGGTCAGTGTTGTATCTAAGGGAGAGGGCAAGGCAATGAGATCAGGGAGGTCTACACAGAGCACTTCAATCCTATTCATATGGTTTCTTCTCAACAGATGCCTAGTCTGTATGTGGAGTTTATTCTATTATTTATCACATTTTCTGTACATTTGAAATACTTCACAGTAGAAAGCAGCAGCAGAATCAAGAAATTTCCCAAAAAGGTCAACAGCTGTTCCAAGACTACCCAGAACTATAGTGGAGATGAAGAGAGACAAGGACCATGAGAATGGAAGACAGAAATGGTTAAAGAAATAAGAAAGCCAAGTAGAGAAAAGAAGTTCCCATCTGTGTGTGAAACCAGGATGACATTTTGTCCTCCAGTTGTGAAACAGTTACAAATAATTCCTGTTAACCCACAAATCAGGTTACATTACAGAGTGGACATTATCCAAAACATCATTAAGCTGAAAATACTTACTACAACTCCACTCTTGGTGGTAGTTTCTCTGTATGTGAAGTTGCAAATCGCCCAGGCTAAATAATATGTGGACATGAGAGGGGTCTGTGAAAAGTGATCTGTTACCCATCCATCTTCCTCAAACACAGACGTTTCCACTGGCATATTGGATAGAGACAAATAGGTTGCTTGATGTTTGATGCTGATTTTGAAAGTTGCCTTGTAGATTGGCTCGTCAAAACATGGAAACGCTTTTCTGGCATGTGTAGGCGAAAACTGAGTAATGCCAAGGAATCTGGAAAAAAAAAAAAAGAGAAAATGACATTGCAATTATGTGTGTGTGTGTGTGTGTGTCTTCATTTAAGTTAATGGCCCCATTCCTTGCTTCTGAATTCATGACTAATATAAAAGTACAGCTCATATATAATATACTGCCCTTGCAATAAAAGTTCTTCAGGGACATTTTTGTCTCAATTAAAGTAAATTCTCTAAACCCTGAACAGTCCTTACTGGATGAAACACTACACTCTACAGAGAAACAACTCACTGGCACATTGGCAAACACGGGGAAATAATGATTCTCTTTTACCATGTATATCACTGTCCTCCCTGAAACTTAGCACATACAGCATACAAAGATACTGAACCTGGAGTTCAACCATGACCATCAGAGGTGGGGAAAAAAGACCCTTATAGACCCTCACTGGAAAATATCTAGACCTTCAAATTTGAGAAAATGTAATCTGATTTTGTAAGACAAATGACTCTGAAACATATTAAATCTTGGTCTGAATTCTAGTTCCAAAACATTTTTAAACATACCAACTTTGATAATTCCTAAACTTTCCCAAAATAAGAAAATACTCAAGTCTAACTGCAGAAGTATAGTAAGTAGGCTTAGAGTGGGTAATAAAAGTGATGAAATACACTGTCATTGTGAATAACATACAGGAAAAAGGCAGCAGTCACTGGTTACAGGATCTTCAACCTTCCTCTGCATTGCCATGTACATTTCCAGTGCACAGTCCAGAGAGCACTGATTTTGATGACAATGGCTCACCCTGTCTGTGGTGGCTTCACTTTCTCGAATTTCCGTTAACCACAGTCAAATGCAGACTAGAAACATTACTGTACTGTGATAAGACTTGAAATATGTAGTGAAGGGAGACCGTATTTATACAACTTTTACTTACTATCGTGTTTTATTTTATTACTAGTTGCTAATCTCTTAATATGCCTAATTATGAACTAAACTTTATCATATGTATATACATATAGAGAAAAACACAGTATATACGGTGCTCAAGATTAACCATGAGTTCAGGAATCACTGAAGGTTTTGGAATGTATTCCCCATGGGAAATGGTAAACTACTATGTCCATGAGATATAAAAATAGATGGTAAAGATATCCAATCAATAAAATAGGTCTACAAGTCATACCTATAAAATAAACATAAATATATGTACATATATCAAGTACTTTTCAGATAGAACGGTATCTCATCACAACTAAATAGAAGTAGCTCCTTTATCCCTTTATAATCTGCAATTACAAATGAAGACACTCAAATTAAGTTCTTTAAGGACACTCTTCTAATTAAGAACTTATTCATAACAAAAGCTAAATTTTTCAGCTCTAAAATTTTCTGTAAGGCAAGTCAATATCAGATATTTCATAAGACATTAAAAAATTCTAAATCTCTGTCAAAGGCTCTTCCCTCCATGAGTAGCTCTCCATCACTCACCTCTCCATCTCCCAGGGCATATGTGGTTAATATAACACAATACACTTTCACACTAAGCTTAAATGTGGCTTCAAAATTATTCTCAGTATAGGACAGAGAGAACTGCCACCAAATACAAGTGGACATGCATTTTGAATCTGACAAGCTATCCAATCGCTGTAGGTGCCATGTGTATCAAATCTTATTATCAATCTCGGTTCAACCATGAGGCATAAATATTCACACCATCTTAAAAGTATGAAGTTTAGGGCTGGAGATATGGCCAGTGGTTAAGAGCATTGGCTCTTCTTGCAGAAGATCGAAGTTCAAATCCTAGCACCCGCATGGCAGCTAACAACTGTTCATAAGTCCAGTTCCAGGAGATCCAAAGTCCTCTTCTGACATCTGTGAGCACCACACAACACAGGTGCACTTACACACATGCACGCAATACACTTATACACAAAAAATAACTAAAAATAAAATGTTTTTAAGTATGAAGTTTATAGAGTATGAAGTTTCTGTGGTCATAGTTTAATAAACTAGTTTAAGGAACAAAATATATATTCTAGTCAAGATTTATCTGGGAATATTTGGTTTTTCACCCAAGCTTCATCTACATAGCACATGATAATTGAAAGTACCAGACTGGTGGAACTAACCTTATTGGATGTTCAACAGCCGTAGTTTGTGGCCTAATGTGGTCAGAGGGACTTAAAGGACGCTTTTTGTCCCTTACCCTCGGGAGCCTGGGAGCCTGAGGTTCAACTAAGTCTTAGCTACCTCTCAAAACTGCTGACAGACCTAAGCTGGCAACTTTCCATTCTGCCCGCGGCCTTGGCCCAAAACCTTGGCAGGCAGCTGGGGCCCACAACCTTGGCTCAGAGCCGGGGCCAGATAGCCTTGCTAGATAGCCTTGGCCCACGGCCTTGCTCTCTTTTCCAGCATACGGTTCTATTCTTCTATAATCAGAGATTCCTCCCTTAATGTGCATCAGAGCCCTCATGCTCTGACTGATGTAATAGTTTGCAGTCTGTGTTCCTTTGTTCTCATTCTCTATAAAAACTCATGCTTGAGCTTCAATAAATGAGACTTGATCAGAATCCTGTCTTGTCTCCATTTCTCTTGCCCCTTGCCTCATCTACATCCCCACCCCCCAATCCAGGTACTTCCTGGAAGTTCTGCGGGTCGGAACCGAGTCACATGCGGGGTGGCCTCCCGCAACCCTCCAAGGTCAACTAAGTTCCAGGGGACTATGACACATCTCTCAAAATGTTCAGTAACTGTGCTGAGTCACTTGTCCTCTTGTTCAGGGAGAACATGGAAACCCCACGAGATGGACTTGAACCAGTGTCCAGTCTACAAAGAGGAGGGTCAACTCAGAGGAAGTATCTCATTCACGCTTCCAACATGGTCGAGCAGGACCTTTGACTTATCTTCACATAGATGGAGCTAGTAAAAGAAAGAAGCCAAGAGCTCCTCCCAAGCCAATATGACTGCTGAGGAACACATCCTCAAATGACCTTAACTGTAAAAATAATTTGATTTATTTGAGCCAACTGTGTGGTCTTAAACACCCAAAAGGAAAGTATAACCAAATAGTAAAGTCATCAGTATATATCTTAGGAGTTTAAGGGATTACATTTCCCAGACATTAGGCATAAGTCCATATAAAAATCATTTAAACAATTATATCT